GGAAGTCCAGGCGACAAGAAGATATTTTAAAGCCTCAGACAGGGGCCTGAGTTCCATCAATGCTCAACCTCGAACGACCACTGGGGCCGCCCTACCCTCCAGCTCCGAGGAGGCTAAGACACTGCCAAGGGTCGACTCCATCGACGTTGACAACTGCTTCTTCATGGAGGATCGTGCAAAGAAGAGGAAGAAAGGGAAATAGCCCATGGTCGAAGGTGAAGGTTTATCCCTAGCTGCAGATTCCGAGGAACTCTCAGATCCCGTACGACCCATTCTAGACGGAGACTTCGAGATCATCCCCCTCGGGAACGATTCCACCATAGGAGTAAAGATCAGAGCTGACCTTCCCGACTTGGCGAGGACGCAACTTAAGGCTTGCTTAGGGAGAATGCTGATTTGTTTGCCTGGAACGCAACTGAGATGCCCAGATTGGATCCAGAGATTGCATGCCATCACCTGACCATAGACCCTACCCTCATGGCGGTCGCCCAGTGCAGAAGAAAACAATCCCCCAAAAAAGCGGAGGTTGTCGAACTAGCTGTAAAAGACCTCTTAGAGACACATTTTATTTCTGAAGCCCGGTGCATAACCTGGCTCTCGAATGTAGTTCTTGTAAAGAAATCTAATGGAAAATGGTGCATGTGCATCGATTATACCGACCTCAATCGAGATTTCCCGAAAGATGCTTATCCCCTCCCCAATATTGACAAACTGGTCGACAACTCGGCCGGTTTCAAATTGTTATCTTTTATGGGCGCATATTCTGGATACAACCAGATTCCAATGGCGAAAGCAGACAAAAAATACAATGCTTTTATGACCAATTCGGACAACTATTACTACAACGTAATGCCTTTCAGCCCGAAAAATGCGGGCGCTGCATATAAGTGCATGATGAAAAAAAGTCTTCCTCAATGAAATAGGCGACATGTTCGAAGTCTACATGGATGACATGATCGTAAAATTGACATAAGAAATTAACCATGCCCTCCACTTGAAAAAAGTTTCCGAGTAGGCCAAAAAGTGCCAGATACGATTTAACCCAGAAAAATGCACCTTCGGCGTACGGGCAGGTGAATTCCTCAGATTCTACCTCACAGAAAGAGGGATTGAGGCAAACCCCAACAAATGTCAAGCATTTTCTGAGTTTCCAACGCCCACTTCGAAAAAGTCCATTCAAATCCTGAACAACACACTCACTTCTCTCTCTCTCTCTCTCTCTCTCTCTCTCTCTCTCTCTCTCTCTCTCTCTCTCTCTCTCTCTCTCTCCTCTCTCTCTCCTCTCTCTCTCTCTCTCTCCTCTCTCTCTCTCTCTCTCTCTCTCTCTCTCTCTCTCTCTCTCTCTCTCTCTCTCTCTCTCTCTCTCTATATATATATATATATATATATATATATATATATATATATATATATATATATATATATATATATATATATATATATATATATATATATATATATATATATATATATATATATATATATATATATATATATATATATATATATATATATATATATATATATATATATATATATATATATATATATATATATATATATATATATATATTCGTGGCAAAATCCTCCCAGCACGCATTCCCCCTCTTTAAACTCCTCCACAAAGAAGCTACCTTCGAATGGACGTCCGAATGCGTGCATGCTTTCACCCCCTTGAAGCAAGCACTATCGCAACCGCCCGTCCTTTCTCAACCAGGGAAGAATGAAATCCTCTACCTCTATCTGGCCGTCACCCCCGAGGCAAAAAGCGTAACGCTAATCAGAGAAACTCCAGAAGGGAAGAGGCCTATCTACTTTACGAGCAAGGCCATGTAGGGCTCCAAAGTAAGATATCGACAAATTGAAAAGGTGGCCCTTGCCCTCATCAATGCAGCGAGGAGACTTAGGCACTATTTCTTGGCGCATACCATAGTCATCTGAATAGATCAATCAATAAAGCAGCTGCTTGGCAAGCCTGACATCGCGGGAAAAATGTCGTAATGGTCCTTAAGAATGAAGTTCACCACGTTAGCTATTCAACGCTCTGAACGACACCTCAAACGGAGTCTGAAAACTCAAGTTACATCATTCTCAAACTGATTATGCCAAAAACCAGACAACATGGATCGGCGTGTAATGCCTTGGGTCGACGCGTACTGAACTGAACACGCCACATGAGTCGACGCATCCTCTCTTATGTCGACTCATACTGAGTCTTCCACACTGCATGTATCGATACATGCTCTTACGTATTGACTCATCCTGAGTCTAAAAGCCTTCATGTATCGACGCATGGCTTTTCCAATCGACACATACCGTTCTGACATGGATATTTTCTGCGATTTCACTGTGTTTCACTATGGTTTCCATACTTTAGGCCCTAAAAACATCCTCTAATCATAGATAATCATCAATTACAATTATCCTATGTTTCTACATTATTTATACAACATTAGGGCATCATAATTCATCCATAATTCATCGATTTTCATCATACAACAACATATACATTCAAATCATGAACAAGACAACATTTCACATCTAATCCCACATACCAATCATCATAAACCCCATTATAGAGTCAGAACCCCACCCTTACCTTGGATTGAAGGTTGCTCTATAACTTTCCGATTGAAGTTTCGTTCTGCCTCTTTTTCCTTCTTTCCAACAACTTTCACGTTCTATTCTTCCAACTCTTATTCTCATTCTCTTCTTACTGCTTCTTCTTTTCTCCTTATTATTTCTATAATAATAAAATAACCCTATTATACTCAAAACACGTTAATGGGCTTAAGACTACTACACCCCTTTATGACTACTTCTATTCCTTTAAAACAAGACCACATCAAATAATATTATCCTTCTAATATTATTAAACCACTTAATAAAATAAATAAATCCAACTAATCACAACACAACTTCACAAATATTTCAAAAAATAATTTAATTAAATAATTAATTAAATTACAGACGTTATGCAACTGCTCTGTGAGAGTAAGAGTTGGACCCGTGATTCCCAGTGGGCAGTTAAGGTGACTGATCTGAGGACGTGGGCCACGTCCCCCAACAGATATGTGAGGAGTTGACCAACGGTCCCCAACTTGGATAATCTGTTCTTTGGGCCTTACAATTTGGCCCCCTATGCGAGGGGCAAGCGTAGGCCCAGTCCAGATCAACATCCCTCTCTCTCCTATGGATGATGAGCTTAGATGGATACACTATAGTGTAGGTACCCTAAGTCTCAAAGATGCTTATAACTTTAACACTCCTTCTGGAAATAATCTTGATTGGGAAAAGCTGATTTGGAACATCTTTATCCCTCCATCAAAATATCTTTTTGTATGGAAGCTAAATCTTTCCAAAGTTCCATCTGATGACATCCTAACCAATAGAGGCATATACTTGTTTCCTTCAAGATGTGTTTTATGTGATATTCATGTGGAAACAACATAACACCTTTTTTTTGCAATGCATCTTTGCGCAATGTTTTTGGAATTAGTTATCCAATGTTTTTCAATTTGGCCTGCATCTCAACATGGTGGAAATTTGGGATGTCTATTATCAGGTTTGGTCTAAGCAATGTAGAGTAGTTATCCTGTCTACAATCATCAATACGTTCAATATCACCTGGCATTGTAGAAATCATAAAAAGTTTAACAGCAAAATCATTTTGTGGGAAAGTGCTCGGAACATGCTAATATCTAATATTCTAATATAAGTATGAATGGGAACTTTACAAAAAAGACCTCAACTTGCAGTATTTTGGATTATCGAGTTCTGAAAGCTTTCAAAGTCTTAGTTCATCCTCCTAAAGCTTCCATATTTATTGAAGTCATATGGAAGCCTCCACTCCAATCATGGATCAAATGTAATACTAATGGCATTTCTCTTGGTGTCCCAGGTCAGGCAGCTTGTGGAGGAATTTTCAGAAATCACTCAGCAAATTTTATTGGTTACTTTGCAGAAAATCTTGGAGAGAACTATGCCATTAATGCATAATTCATTGGAGTTATGAGGACTATAAAATTATCTTATGATAGGAATTGGAAAAATATTTAGGTTGAAAATGACTCAAAATTAGTTACTCTCGCTTTTAGCAACGCTAACATCGTCCCTTAGTCGCTGAAGAACAAGTGGCTTAACTTTATACATATATCTTATATCATGTCCTTTCTTTTATCTCATATTTTTCAGAAAGGAAACCATTGTGTAGAGAAACTAGCTTCATTAGGCCTTACCACTCAAAGTTTTGTTTGGTGGAATGAAGTTCTTGTGTTTGTTTTTGATGATATGGTTAGAAATAGACTAGACATTCCTTGTTTTCGTTATTGAGGTTTTGAGGGTTTTTTTGTTCTTATCCCCCATCTTTTATGAATCTTTCTTTTGCTTAAATTTTTTTTGAATCCTCTTCGGTCGACTTTTTGTTACAATCAAACCGTTTAGAATTTTTTAAAATTTTATTTTAAATTTTTTAAATAATCAATTTTAAATATTAATCGTCTGATTTTAATCGAACGACTACTAAGGCTTAAATATGTGATTGAGGAAAAGTTTGAAGAGAATTTATTTTTCCACTCTATAGTGAAAAGAAAAATCCTATGCAATTCCTAAAATATCCCTTAAAAACCAGAAATATATTTCCGATGCGGATCATGCACCACTCACAAATAGATCAAATGTGGTTCCACCATATTCAAAAGGTAAAAAACAGAACCATAATTATAGTTTCAGTTGCAACCACTATTGTATTTTCTGATTTCAATCAACATTTTATTAAATCTTGATGCATCTCAAAAATATATTTTCGATTTCCAGAAACATTTTTATAACTCCATGTGATACGCGTTAAAACTATAGGGTGAAAAATCCTCAACTTTGAAGGTGGGGATTGTAGTACGAGGCAGTTGGGCCAAGCCCAATTTTATCAGTTTATTAACAGCACCGTCGACCAACCCTAGTAGCCTCATCTTCAACACCTTGTTACTTCTTCACCGATCATCATGAACAATTTACCCCCGGAGATCATTGACAACCACATTCTTCCACTCCTCGACGGCACTACCTTAACCGCCTTATCCTCCGTCTCTTCTGAATTCCGCCGCATGATCATCAACAAGGACGAACTATGGAAGAGCATCTGTGCTTCTACGTGGCCTTTATTGCTGCCGACGATAAACAGCTTCGTTTCTACCTTTCCTGGTGGTTACCGTTCCTTCTTCTCCAATGCGTTCCCATCCCTTCACTGCAATAATAATAATAATAATAACAACTCTCAGTTTAACTCTATTGATCCTCCTCCCATACATTTGTTATACCTCATTGATATGTATGCAGAGGGAGAATCATGTCCTCGGTTTACAATGAGTAGATTTACTGAAGTCGGGTCTGACGATTATCCCGACATTCCGCGTCCGCTTTGTTTTTACATTACGGAAAAGACAGAAGACTGGATGGACCACTTTCAAGATAATTTGAGGTTAAATTGGATTGTTATCAACCAAACTCAAAACTCTGCGAGGAGTTTGTTTAGTCCGGTTTGTAAGCCGGTTTCGATTAAAAGAACATGTATGACGAAAGAGGTGGTGTACGAGAAGGTGATGCCGGGGCAATGCAAGGATTATACGGAGATGGTGAAATGTTATATGAAGGTCACTTGCAGCTTGAAGTCGGATCATAATGAGACGCACTTTGAGACTGGTATGGAGGACATGAATGGAAAGCGTGTGTTGGAGAGGCATGCTAACATGATTATCCTCAATGCATTTCTGAATGGGGAGAGGAAGAAATTTTGATGTATCCAAGCTACTTTAACAAATTCTTCCAGGTCAGATCATTGTTGTTAGAGAAAAAGGATCATTGGTTCGATATGATACTAATAGATTGAAAACATTATACCAATTTTATGTTTTAAATATTGTAGACCAGTTCTTCATGTATTCGGTTTTGGTTTAAATTGGATTGGATGCGTTTTACTTTTTCACTTTTAGTCAAATATGATTTGGAAAAGAAGTAGAATAGATAACAAGTAACGGCACTAGACTGTCTCTGGAAATGTTTTATTTTTTCACGCAGATTAGACACTATATCTGTAACTAGTTATTGATTATTGAACATTAACTTACTTTGCTCTCCTGTTTTTGAGAGATGAGAAAGAGAGAGAAAGAGTATGTGAGGGAGGGGTGAGAGAGAAATAGGAGGGAGGCTAGAGTACATCATAGGTGATTTAGGGAAGGGGGATTGTCTTCCAGAGGTGGTCTGCCATGGGATATACATGGCTATCCAAAGACTGGAGCATGTCGCTATTGATGAAGGCAGGTCAACTTTGACATTTGTTCACAAAATATGGTGGAGTAGGAGAACTTTTTATTTTTATTCCTAATAAATTAGACAAATGGGAGAGAAAATTTGGTTTTGTTAGGTTTAAGAAGGTGAGAGATGTGAAGGAGTTGTAGAGGAGGTAGTTAGAAGTGACGCGGATATCGTTCAAACTCATAATTATTCTTTCCAGATTTCAAAAAATTGATCCAAGGAGGGAGGCAAGTAGTTGGAAGGGAGAAGGTGTTGTTGTAGAGTTTGGTTGAGAATGTAATCTCAGAGGCTTTGTCAAGAAAGAAGCCACAATTGTTTGTGGTATATTGTTTAAGGCAATTTTGATGGAAGGAGGGAGGTGTTGTTGCAGAGTTTGGTTGAGTGTAATAAGAGGTTTTGTCAACAAACATGCAACATTTGGATGTTGCAGACTTTAGGCAACATTTGGATGTAGCTAGGTTCAAGGTGTTAACCACAGAGATGGGTTGGCTCCACACGGTGATAAGTTTCAGGTGAAAGCTGTTTTCTTTAAAATTAACATCTTAGAAGAAAACCTTGCTTTTTTTTGGAAGTGTTATGTTTTTTTTTTCTATCCCCTTGTAAGAGATCAATGTATTCCTATGGTTCCTCCGACGAAGCATCTAAGGTGGTCCGTGTAAAAGGGAGCTTTGTTAAAGACACTAATGGGTTTGTTTCAAAAAAGATTTATAAGTTCTCATAATAGGGCTGCATGATAGGGTAAGACTTTTTAGAAAATAAAGGGAATGTTGCAGAATTTTTGGAGTGGTCGTCTGATGATGGATCTATCTGTTACTTAGCAAACTCACCAGATGTAAATTGCGTTCAAGTTTTAAAGGTAAAAGAAAGGGACAGGCAAAACTTGTTTAAGGTAGTCTTTGTGGAGGAATTGGGATGTGTGCCTATCCTAGAGGGGGGAGCCTCTAAATGTGGAGGTTAAAGGGAGGACGGTGCAAAGTTGATGGACCTAGTATGGGTAGGTGAGCAGAAGCAGGTGTAAGTTTATCATTAAGCTGTATGGGTGCACGGGTGATGGGGGGAGCGGAGAGGGACCTCATGGATACAAGTTCATTTTCCTAATTCAGTTAATGTTGGAGTAAATGGGTTCATGGGTTAGGTTGTTGGGCCTGAGATGAGTATCAATCTCAAGGAGATAGAGTTTTTGTGATGTTCAACCATGTAACACAATTAGATGACATGCAAGTCCACACAAAAGAAGGTATGATGACTGTTCTTGTTATGGAAGGCCCTACAAACTTACTCGATGAACTTCATTTCATGTCAAAGAGGGTGTTTGGGTGCTATTGAAAGGGGCCACACGTTGGAGTTAGGTGCCAAAAGTCGTGAATCTTGTTGGTACTTTATTTGGAATACATAAATGGCAACACTTATTTATTAGTTCATTGGAGTATGTTTGAATCAGGTTCGTGAGTAGCGTTCCTATTTCGTGGTTAATGCTTATGCAAAGTGCGATCTGCAAGGTTAGAAAAATCATTGGAGGAATATTTTTAGGGATGGCAACGAGTAGGGCCAGGCGTGAGTTTTACACTGTTAATGCATGCATGTTAGGATTGTTTGTTACCATGTGGCTAGGTACACAGTCTGGTTGTTAAATAATGCATGTTAGTTTTGACATTGATGTTTTTTTTTTTCAAAAGCTACTACACAACTACAATCGTATCAAATGCTGAAAAGAGCATGTTTGGGAGGGATGGTCATTAACAAAGCTATGCATATTCTTCCAAGCGTGCAAGTGCAGATACAATATATATTTTCTTGACATTGCTTTTTTTAAACAGTAAACTAAATGAAATGGAATCCTCTGCATTTGAAATTTGGACAGAATATTGAATCCATAAAGATAATGATTTAAGATTCAAATTTAACGCGAGTTAATTCAAAATTTTACATATGCATTCTATAGATATGGCTTGGTTTGAAGATATGTTTATAAGTGGGTAACTCCACTTTACAAGTTGATTTTGTAAGGTTACGTTTAATCACAATTTTAAGAGGATTTGACATGACACTCCTTCAATTTTCATTATTTCAGAATTATTCCCGGTGAGATACAAAGATTTTTTTGACGAAATTTTCGGTAGAAGTATTCAAATTTTTGGTATTGGGAAAATTTTCGATAGACCCTTTCAAAATTTCTGGTTAGTTTAAATTTTCGGTAGTGTATTTGAAATTTCAAGTATTCCAAAAATTTCAAATTTATCCGACAATACCAGAATTGAGATACACTGAAATTTTTGGTAGTTCATGTATTTAAGTTTTTTTAACGGCCAGGATTTTGCCGACATCTTTCGAGGGCTCTGATTGCATCGACAATTTTGTGTGGTCTAGAAACTAACATGCATTATTTAACACATTCGCACCCAGACACTGATGGATGTAGAACAAGGTCGTCTGATCTTTCTTCCTTATCGCCTTCTGCGTTATCTTTTGTGCTTCTGTTTCACCCATGTTTCTCCCATAGATTTTGAACCAGCTCCCATAGATTTCGAACCAGAGCTCTAACTACCAATTATTGGTGCACAAAGGAGAGATGAAAGACAAAAAAAAAAATTAAATGACGACTACAAAATAAGGAGTAATGAATAATTATATTGACATACTACTAGGCTATTTATACACAAAATTAGGATATAATAAAATACTAAAATACACTCTAACAAACTTAGTCAATAAGACATTCATAAAATATAAATTATTTTCAACAAAAGTTTCGTCATAAAAAACATTCGAGTTCCTTTTGGATTTCCTTCTTTATCAATGAGAACCGCCGCATTATCATCATACTTTATTATTATACCATTACGACGTTTTAGTTCTTTACAAGTACGTACAATTACAGCTCTGATGACTTGAGATCTTTTTAAAGATGAATTTGGCACTGCTTTTTTGATTACAGCAACAACAATGTCACCAATATAAGCATACCTTCGATTACTAGCTCCTATGATTCGAATACACATCAATTCGCGCGCTCCACTATTATCGGCTACATTTAAATAGGTTTGAGGTTGAATCATATCCTTTTTTCTTATCTTTCAGTTTCAGTCAAAAAGTTGAAGTAAAAAAAATATTTTGTGTTCAAAAAAAAAAACGGAGAATTGCCTTTTTTCATACTAAAGATCTCTTTCGTTCTAATGATTATTCAGAAAGAATAAATTGAGTTCGTATAGGCATTTTGGATGCCGCTATTGAAATCTCCTTTCTAGCGATATTTTCTGGAACACCTCCCATTTCATAAAGTATTTTGCCGGGTTTAACAACAGCTACCCAATATTTGGGCGATCCTTTTCCCGAACCCATACGCGTTTCGGTAGGTCTTACTGTAACAGGTTTGTCTGGAAATATGCATACCCATATTTGTCCACCCCGGCGAACATTTCGTGACGTTGCCCGTCGACCCGCTTCTAGTTGTCTAGATGTGATCCAAGCGGGCTCAAGTGCCTGAAGAGCATATTTTCCGAAGCAAATTTGACTACCACGAGAGGCTTTTCCTTTCATTCTTCCTCTATGATGTTTGCGGAATCTCGTTCTTTTTGGGTTATAGTTGATGGTTATTTCTCAATTCCATCTCTATTACAGAACCGTACATGAAATTTTCACCTCATACGGCTCCTCGCGAATAAATCGATTGAAAAATATTGAATCGAGAAAATAATAATTACTACAATAAGATACAACAGAATATAATCGCGGGATTTTTTTACATTTAATGGAATCTATTGATCTATTAGAGATTTTTTAATCTTGCTTTGATATATAACGAAATATGTATTCTTATAGACCATTTTTGCTATCCGTATCTAACTAGCTAATATTTTTGGATATAAGGTTCTAACGAATCAGTATTTTTCTTTTTTTATTATTATCATATTGGATTGACAAAAATTTATCAATTCCAAAAAAATCCACATTTTCGCGGGCGAATATTTACTCTCTCATTATAAATTGATTAAATTGAAGATGCAATGTAGGGTTAGTCCACAACTCCTCAAAAAAGAATGAATTCTTAGTTCCTTCCGCCATCCCATCTAATGAATCAGTAAGATTTCAAATTTTAATATAATCTTTTGTATTCACAGGTTCCGTCGTTCCCATCGCTTTTCAATTTATGGTTAGGTCTAAATTCTACAATGGAGCCTCTTTAATTAAGAAGATTCCATTTTTTTTATTTTCTTATTTTTTGTTGAATCAACCTTCTCAGTTTTCTTGATTCGTGGCTCTTGATTCGTTTATTCTAGGAATATATTCATCCATATATGGATGAATTTTGAAGATTGATGCTTTATTACACTACTTTTTATGAGATGACCCATAAACCTTTACATAGGAGAATTCTATATCATTGATATCCTTTTTCTATCTTTCTTTCACCCCTTCATTTATCTGTATATTCTTATTGCTTTACAACTAATAATCTTTTTTTTTTTTATTTCAGTTGCTATAATTATATCATCACATAGATCCTTATTTTGATTTTAGATTTTCAGCGATTCTTTATATCCCGATAATAGGAAGCGATGAGTAGGTTATTTATTCTTTAGTAATTAATTCGACGGATTTTTGTAGAAAATTAACCACTCTAAAAAAAAACCAACGAGTCACACACTAAGCATAGCAACTCCTTCATTATAAAATGATTAATTAATTTTTTTTTATTCAATCTTTTAAAATTTTTCATTTCTTCTTTGAGAATAAGAACGTAGTAAGAATTCGTCATTTTTTGTTTTCTCAAAAGATGGAACGTTATGAGGAAAAGGTTATTAGTCGTTGTTTATAAATATCCAAACTTTGATTCCTAAGACCCCATAAATAGTTCGAACTGGATAGGAACAATAATCAATCTTAGCTCGAATGGTTTGTAGAGGAATCCTACCTTCTCTGATCCATTCGACACGTGCAATTTTGTTTCCGTCGATGCGTCCCGCAATTTGTATTTGAACTCCTTTTGTACCTGCACCTGCCTCTTCAGCGAATTTTTTTATAGTTTTTTGCATTGCTTTACGAAACGGAATTCTATTCTTTAATTGTCTGGCTAGAAATTCTGCAAGAATATTCGGGTCTCTATAAACATTTGGAATTCTTGTAATTTCAATGTTGATTTGTCGGTTCACACATTTTTTTTTGCACATTAGTATGTAATTCTTCAATTCTTTCAGGGTTATCCTCTATTACTAAGTTTGGGTTTGGAAGTCCCATATTGATTATCACGTGAATTCGATCGCGTATTTTTTTAATCTTTATTCGTCCAATTCCCTCGCCATCGACAGCGGTTGTTGTTTTTTGTATTTTTTGTATATAATTCTTGATACAATCTCGTATTATTTTATCTTCTTTTACATTCTCGGAATAAATTCTTGGTTGTGCAAACCAAATAGAATCATGACTTTGAGTTGTACCAAGTCTGAAACCAAGCGGATGTATTTTTTGTCCCATAATCCCTCACTACTCTATATAAAATAATATGTCTGATTTGTCTACTTTTATATATATATATATATATATATATATATATATATATATATATATATATATATATATATATATATATATATATATATATATATATATATATATATATATATATATATATATATATATATATATATATATATATATATATATATATATATATATATATATATATATATAATATCTTGATATATCTTTTTTTTTCTGCAAAGCATTAGTTCTATTATAATAACCCTTTCAATTTTTGAATATTATTAATTACCATTCACGCTTTGTGTTGTGAATAGACAAAAATATTTTTTGAACAAAGGGTTATATTTCTCTGTATTGGTTCTATTTTCACGAAAAAATAAAATCTGTTTTTTTTATTGCAGAATAATACAATTCTTTTTGAGTAATTTATTAATTAATATTTATTAATGACTATTACTAAATTTATGTTAAAATGAATGTTAACGACGAGATCTATTATCATTTTTCGCAAAGCCTCGGAAGTTTCGAGTAGGTGAAAATTCTCACAATTTATGGCCTACCATACGATCTGTTATATAAATAGGTAAATGCTCTTTTCCATTATGGATAGCAATGGTATGCCCAATTATTATAGGTAGAATGGTAGATCTTCTGGACCAAGTTATTATTATTTCCTTTTCTCCTTTTGTGTTAAGCTTATTTATTTTTCTTAATAAATGATTCGCTACAAAAGGATTTTTTTTTAGTGAACGTGTCATAGTTAATTATTCCTCTTAAAATTTCTAAAAAAATGAATTTTTTCTCTTATTTATTTTATTTCCAATTTTAAAATATAGAATCTCTTTTTAAAATATAGAATCTCTCAAAAAAGAAAATCATAGAATGTCATAGTCAATCGCTCTTTTCAATCAATGTTATTGTGAACTTGTACAGTTCACACTTCTTAGCTCTACCCATTGAATATATAGTAATAGGTCTTTCACAATAAAATCTAGCTATACAGTAACGGTATTTAAGTATGAAGATTAGCTGGGTAGTTGACCCTCTTAGTCCGTTATTGCTAAAATTAGGGCATAATTTGTCTTTATTTCAAAGAGGATTTTTCCCGCTTAATGGATCACTTTTTGTTACCAATGGGAAAAGTATATTTCATCTTAAATTAAAAATTAAGGTAATTTGGTTTGCACCAATTGAGAAAGCATAAATTTTATACACAATAGAATTATATATATACAATTCTTATTAATTGAATATATTTTTTAATTTCAGTATATGATCTAAACGAGTCGCACATACACCTTAATACATGTTCCTCGGCGTTGAGGGCATCCCCGAAGAGCGGGATATTTTGTTACAGTCCGGATTGGCTGTCTTGTGTTTCTAATAAGTTGGTTTATAGTTGGCATGGGGAGTCATATACATAATGAGCTGGTTTGGATCAATCCTAACCTGATAATTTTCAAATTGATAAGGACTCTATAAAATCGGGTGATTAAAAAGATAAAAGACAACATCAAATTATAATTCTGCATTTAGTCGGTACGTTAGGAAAGAAGCATCAGAAATAGTAGAAAGAAAATATTCTCATTTATTAGGATCAAAAAGGGAATAAAGATTTTATGCAAATTTTGGATTTACAAAGAATCCGCTATTGTATCAATTATTCCGTAGGCTTGGGCTTCTTCTGCTGACATAAAAAAATCCCTTTCCATGTCTTTATATATCTGCCAGGAAGGTTTGTCTGTTCTTTGGCAATAAATATTTATCATAGTTGTTTGCATTTTCATTATTTCCGTCACTTCCATCATAGATTCTCCCGTGTTTCCCTCATAAAAAGAACTAGCAGGTTGATGCAGCATTACCCTGAGAGTATACTATAATTAAGGTTTATTTCTCTTAATCTTACCGTAAAAAAAAAGAATGAAGAGATAGAAAAAAGAACTTCAATTTCTTTTTCGCCGTACATGCAAGCCTCTTTTTTTCTTTATTTTTTATATAGCATACGGCTCTACTTTCAATTTTTCATTTTTTTGACCCTTCATTGAAAAAATACAAAAAAAAATATATCGGGTTTATCAGACCCAGATCAGTAAAGAATCTAATAACCACCCTTCTTTTTTTTTTAGAGTCTTTTTTAAAGACTATGATGATTCCGTTGCTATCTTATTTCTTCTAGTTTTTGATTCAGCAATCCCAAAGTTTCTTTTTTTCAAATAAGTCCAAAAAATTGTAACACTAAAAGAGGCTCCGATAGATCAGATAAAATAGTAAATACCCCTTTTTCACACTACTCTTTCGATATATAATCTAATGGTTTTGAAAAAAAAAAAAATTTTGCATATCGAACTCAAAGTGCCATGCTTTTTTGACTTAATACTGGCGTAGACATAGTCTTCTTTTTTTTTTTCTACAAATAAGAATCAGTGGCGCCAAGCATGAGGGAATGCTAGACGTTTGGTAATTTCTCCTCCTAACAAAATAAGAGATCCCATTGAAGCGGCTAATCCTACGCATACTGTATGTACTTCTGCTTCTACAAATTGCATAACATCAAAAATTACCATTCCAGATAGAATCCCTCCGCCTGGAGAATTTATAAACATATACAAATTTTTGTTCTTGTTCTCTAAACTTAGATATACCATTATACCGACGAGTTGATTTGATATTTCACTGCTAACCTCTTTACCTAAAAAAAGTAGTCTTTCGTGAAAAAGTCGATAGTATAAGTCAATCCAAGAAGCTTCATCCTCGCCGGGAACATCAATTATTGTAGTGTCTAAAAGCCTCAAAAAATACTTCTCCCCTAACGGGAGAATAACATATCCTCACTTACATACTCATATATAATATCACGCTAATATCATATGTACTAAATTGTTATAAATCTGAAAAGGCATTTGAGAATCTCCTATCTTTAAAGAGATACCATGTACACATATACTTTTAGAGCCGTATAAAATTAAAATTGTATTTGTCCGGACCAGGGCTTTTTTATTCCCGTCATTATTCCTTATCATTCCTTATTGCTTCCTTGATTTCATCTTCAGAAAAATATACCCCCAATGTTAATGAATCTTCCATATTCAGTTAAGTGAAGTTCAATCCTTCTATAATACGGATGTCATGAAGTGGCAACCTTCAAGACGAGTTTGAGAATAGTTTTTTTACTTCTTGTTTGATATCCTGCACACCTTCTAAAGACACTCCATCCTTTTGTTGTGTGAGAATTTGGTTTTGTCGTTACCTATGTTTTAAGTTCTCGTGAAAGAACCTAGTGTTAGAATCTCCTCTGATCCTTGTGTTGTGGAAGCATTTTTGCGGTGGTCCATATTGAGTTGCTTTTGACATTGCTACAGTTTGTCCAAGTGATTAATTTCATCAACAATTACTTCAATCTTTAAATCTAACCATCCAAGTTCCACCATTTAAGTATTTTTTTGAGCAGCTTTAATTTTTCATTGATTACTTACGTACACCTTTCTTCCACGGATCTTCAACAATATTCCTCAAATCCTTTGAATTCTTTGCTATCATTAGACTTCTTTTCCAAAGTATAGGAGTAAAATGAAAGAGTAAAGTGCATCCAATTCAATTCAAAACAAAACCGAATACATAATGAAGAACTAGCTTATAATAAAATTTTGACTAATAAAACTGTTACCAACCTTATTATTGTATCTAACTAAAGATACTTTTTCTCTAATAACATAATGATAATGATAATAATCTAATAGAATAACTTGTCAACGAAGAACAGTGTTGACGTGCTTCTTCTTCACAATTTTCTTATCAATATCCTTCATTCTAAACTTAGCCCACAACCCTTTCCATCCTCTTCTCCAGAAGCACATGACCTCCACACGACATTTCAACATCTCCGTAAAAAGCCCAGGCAGCACCGGCATCACCGTCGTGTACACCAACTTAATATTTGTTAATGTTTCTTGAACAGAAACCGGTTTACATCTAGAATGAAACAAGCTCCCAGCACGCTTTTGAGTTGGATCGATAACTACCCAATTCAACCTGAAATTCTCTAGAAAGTACTCCTTCCATCCCTCTTTCATTTCCTGAATACTATCGTCAAACAAAGTAAATTTACAATAATGATAAGAAGTGATGTACAACACGGGAGACATATTTTCTTCTATGCGATGAGATTCAACTATTGAATACAAAGAATCTGGTTCTCCCTGTAAATACATAGCAATGGCGAAGATGAAATTTTTAGTGGGGAGAAGATCAATACATTGAGACTGAGAACTATTATTATTATTATTATTATTATGGTGAAGGGAAGGGAATGAACCGGAGACGGAGACAAAGGAACGGTAACCACAAGGGAAGGTAGGGAGGAAGAGGCTATCGTTCCAACAATGCATGTAAGGCCATGTGGAGTTGCAAATTGTCTTCCATAGTTTATCGTTGTTGCAGATCATGTGGCGGAATTCGGAGGAAACAGAGGATAAGGCGGTTAACGTAGTGCCATCGAGACGTGGAAGAATGTGAGTATGAATGATCTCCGGATGTAACCGGTTGAAATTATTCATGGGGGACAGGTTAAGAAACTGATTGTTGAGGAGGCGATTGGGTTTTCATGATATTTATATGAGTTAGGGTTAGGGTTTTTCATGGTGGGCCGGTTTAATTATCCTTTAATCCAATTTGTTGAATCGATTTTTTCTGCAAAAAGGTTTAAAATATGATATGCATGTGACTTCACACAAACAATTTTATAGTGATTACATGTTTTTTTTCTTCATTTTGTGATTCCAACCATCTCCCTCTCATTCAATCATACCATCTATGAAGATCTGTCTAAGTTCTTATATTTTCAAAATTGACAAAGTATTAATGTAAAATCGATACGTGTACGATATGTTCTTATATTTGTTGTAGAAGTAAAAAACAATTAAATTTTATTAATTTTTTATTAAAAAGGATCAATATATTTGAGATACTAAGCAACTTTAGCGCAAGAATATTATTAATAGAGAGATTCTAACTATTTGAGATACTAAGCAATAGTATTTTAATTATTGCACGCCCATAAAAATTATATTTTAATTAATAAAATATAATGGAAGAATAATTAATAAATCTACAAAAGTAGAAATTTTTTTCCTATGGTTTTGAAGATGACACGTGATTTCTTGAGAGGAGATCAAATTATTTTCTCAAAAATCCTCATTCGTTTAATGTCTTGTCTTTTTTATTTAATGTTTGGCATTCTCCACTTCCATCTTCCCCACATTCATTTTCATTAACGGTTTCACAACTCTATTTTCATCTTCTCCACTTCCATTTGATTTCAACAACTACTTCTGCCTGCGACGATTTCAAAAATAGTTTGTCTTCCAAATTCAAAAATGGATCCAATTTCCATTTGATTTCAACAACTCCTTCTGCGATGGTTTCAAATTGCGAACGGTTTTTGTTAAATTGTAATCCAATGTGTCGAAACTATGTGTCGAAAAGATTTGATTTGTTTTAGATTTAAATAGATTTGATTTAAGTCTAGAATAAATTAAATTTGATATAGTAACAAAAAGATATTTTGGGCTTTGGGCTTAGGATGTAAGCTCAGTTATAAATAGAGGGAGTAACCCCTATTTTTTGTAAGCAAGTCAAGCAAGACATTCACAGAATTTTGCAGTTGCAAAGTGAATAAGAAAATTTTCATAGTTTGTGAGCAGAGAGAAACTCTGCAGAAATTATTTGTCTTGTCTTCTTTTCTTTGTTTGTCTCATAACTAATTGTCATTGTGGTAGAAATTCATCATAGACTTTGGTGGATTTCCAACATCTGGTATCAAGAGCTTTGTTTTGATTCAAGGGAAGTGTCAATCAAGAACGATTGAAGAATTCACGATGACAAGTTATGAGAATGTAAATTATCCAGCAATCCTACCAATTCTGAAAGTTGACAACTATGAGAATTGGTGCAAACAGATGAAAGTCTTATTCATGTGTCAAGGTCTTTGGGACCTTGTAAAAGATGGAGTCGAAGCGCTTGGAGAAAAAGCTTCAGAAGAAGAAAAGAAGAAATACATAGAATCTGAGAAGCTGAGTTATAAAGCATTATTTATAATTCATCAATGTGCCAGCCCAGACAATTTCGAAAAGGTTAGTGATTCAGAATCTGCAAAAGAAGCTTGGGAAATCCTTGAGAAGTCTTTTGGAGGTGCTGAGAAAGTGAAAGAAGTGAGGTTACAAACTCACAAAAGGACCTATGAACTGCTTCAGATGGAAGACAATGAAAGCATATTTGATTTCTTCACTAGAGTTACAAAACTAGTAAATCAAATCAAGATATGTGGAGAAGCGTTAACAACAAGAGCTGTTGTGTCGAAGATCTTGAGATCTTTAGCTCCTAAGTTTGACCACATAGTGGTGGCGATAGAAGAGGGGAAAGACTTGTCGAAATTTACAAAGGAAGAGCTTCAAGGGACGCTTGAATCTCATGAACAAAGAATGAACGAAAGAGCTGCAGGAAAATCGAAGAGTGATGTGGCCTTGCAGGCACATTCAGCAAAAGAGACCAAAGGCAAAGGAAAGTGTTTTGACAGAGGTAGAGGTGGCTACAACAAATCGAATGGTAGAGGAAATCATATTGAAGGAAACATGTCGAATCAAAGAAGACCATACCAAGGCAACCAAAGAGGTGGTGTTACAAATAGAGGAAGAGGTGGTGGTCGAAAACCTGATAAGAGTCACATTTAATGTTACAATTGTCAGAAGTATGGTCACTATTCGAGTGATTGTCCAGAAAAACGAAAGAATCAAGAAAGTGATGCAAAGCTTGCAAAACATGAAGAAGAAGAAGAGATTATGCTGATGGTCACAACAAGAGATAAAGATAAATTCAAGGACCAATGGTACTTGGATTCAGGATGTTCATCACATATGTCTGGAAGGAAAGACTGGTTTGTCAATATAAAGCCCTCAATAAAAAATATGGTAAAATTTGCAAATGACAATACCTTAGCAGCTGAAGGTATTGGTGATGTTATGATTATGAGGAAAGATGGCAAAAGGTCAGTAATCTCCAATGTGTTGTACATACCAGGCATGAAGAGCAATTTGCTCAGTATAGGGCAGTTGGTCGAAAAGAATTATAAAGTGTCAATCAAAGATAAGATGATGAGAGTCGTTGATGCAAATGGGAGATTAATCTTGAAGGCTCCTATGTCTCAGAATCGAACCTTCAAGATTGAACTAAATATGATGGAGCACAAATGCCTTTCGACTGCAGCTAGCAGAGATGAATGGATATGGCATTATAGACTAGGCCATCTCAACTTCAGAGACATCAGAGATTTGAAGAGAAAAAATATGATTTCAGGATTGCCAGAAATTGACATTCCAAACGAGGTATGTGAGGAATGTGCGCAGGCGAAGCAACACAAGAATAGCTTCAGCAAGGATGCAGGAAGCAGATCGAAGGCTAGTCTTGAAGTCATATATTCTGATGTATGTAGACCAATCCAGGTGGATTCGATGGGAGGTAACAAATACTTTGTTACATTCATAGATGATTTCAGTCGAAAGTTATGGACTTACCTGATCAAGAAGAAAAGTGAAGTGATCGAAGTATTTACCAAGTTTAAGTCTATGGTCAAAAGACAAAGTGGTCGAAAGCTCAAAGTTTTGAGAACTGATGGTGGTGGAGAATATGTGTCGAAAGATTTCGATAGATTATGTGAAAAGGAAGGGATTGTGCATGAGGTGGTGCCACTCTATACTCCACAACAAAATGGAATTGCAGAAAGGAAAAATTGAACCATCATGAATATGGTGAGAAGTATGTTGAAAGGCAAGAATTTACCTAAAGAGTTTTGGGGTGAAGCTGTTTCGACTGCAACATACATTTTGAACAGATGTCCTACAAAGAAGCTATAAGGAATTACTCCAGAAGAATGTTGGTATGGTGTGAAGCCTAGCTTGAGTCATCTGAAGGTATTTGGATCTATTGCACATAGACATGTGGCAGATCAGTTGAGAAGAAAACTTGATGATAAGTCAAGTCAAATGATTTTAGTTGGATATCATTCGACAGGAGGCTACAAGTTGTTCGATCCAGTGAAAAAGCAGATTGTGATCAGCAGGGACGTGATCATAGATGAGTTTAAAGAATGGGATTGGACTGAAAATATCAAGAAATATTCAATGGGAATCCTTCTTGAAGAGCCAGAAACTCAAGTCGAAAGAGAAGTTCGACAAGAGGAACCAGCAAATATACCAAGTACAAGCAGGTCTCAAAGAACAAGACGCATGCCTGCAAGATTGCAAGATTGCAAGATTGTGTGATTACATCAGATGATGTAATAGATAATGAAGGTGAGCTAGTACATTATGCTTTCTATGCAGATGTCGAACCTGTTAATGCAGCTGAAGCATTAAAGGATTCTAAGTGGATGAAAGCAATGAACGAAGAAGTAAAGTCTATCGAAGACAGCAACACTTGGTCACTTGTCGAATTGCCTCAAGGCAACAAGGAAATTGATGTCAAGTGGGTATACAAAGTGAAAACGA